CTGGTAACATCCTGTTTGGCCTGCTTTTTTTTTTTAGGTTTCAAGCAGTATATTGTTCTTGAAAAAATTATCATCGAAGTATAGTTGATTTACAATGTTGTGTTAGTTTCAAGTGTATAGCAACATGATTCACTTATATATATGTATTTATTTATGTACATATGTATCTTTTTCAGATTCTTTTCCATTAGAGGTTATTACAAGATAGTAAATACAGTTTCCTGGGCTCCACAGCAGGTCCTTGTTGTTTATCTGTTTTATACATAGTAGTGTGTGTCTGTTCATCCCAAACTCCTAATTTACCCCTCCCCCACCCCCTTTTCCCCCGGTAACCATACGTTTGTCTTCTATGTCTGTGAGTCTCTTTCTGTCTTGTAAATAAGTTCATTTGTGTTATTTTTTTTAAGATTCCATGTATAAGTGATACCATATGGTATTTGTCTGATTTACTTCACTTAGTATGATAATCTCCAGGTCCATCCATGTTGCTGCAAAGCCATTTTTTCATTCGTTTTTATGGCTAGTATTCCGTATATGTATACACACACACCGCATCTTCTACCACAGAGCAAAAGGGAGGCCCTGCACAACATCCAGCCTGCCTTCACCTTGAGGGTTTTAGTTTAAAATCTTTACGGGTGCCATCATCCCCCACAGTGCACTGCGTCTAACAGACGCTTCATCAGCACTTGTTCAATCAATGAACAGTTGTGATCAAGACCCCCATTCATGAATTCAGCTTCCCTCCATAAATTAAACAAAAACTTAAGATAATTAACAGTTGTCAAGGTTAGAAACATACCATATTGCCCAGAGAAGTTCCAGTTTGCTGGGAAACCAGTGTATCTTTGAAATGAACGTGCACTGTCTGAGGAACACGGCCACAGCGAAAACGCGGGACCCAGCTGAGAACAGACGCCCTTCTCTGGGGAGGAGCCCCTCATGTCCCCGCGCCGCGAGACCGACACAGCGAGGTTGGGGCGCTTCCCAGGCTGTTCCCGCTGTTCACCCTGGCTCCAGGGGGAGTCTCGGAAAGTCTCTTTTTAATATACAGTCATGTTTGTCTCGCACAGGGACGCGGTCTTTACATTGCCGGCGTTACCGCTCTCTGTGTGTGAGGTTTCATACCGTACGTGACACAGGCCCCCTGTGAGCTCGGTTTAATGTCTGTTCTGTAGGTTGGTTAAGGTTCGGCTAGTTATTGTGTTTTTCAAAGTCAGAACCCCTTGGAAACTGACTAATAGAATAGCTTTCTGTTTGGTGGATTTTTTTCTCTCTGGTTCTCAAAACACTCTCTTAAACTCTTAGGGACACTACTGCATCAACGTTTGTGGAGACTGGATGCTGGCAGCAGCCTCTGATTCTCTCTGCTTTGTCCAGGTGTTAAGAAAACTGTAGCCTGGTGTTGGAAGCACGGTCGCCATTGAGGTGGTAGCGCTGGTGCAAACCCCTTTTCTGTAAGGCCAGGCAGGTTGACCAGCCCCCCAGTGTATTATTTTGTTAAACGTAAGTTGGAAATGCACGCCGGGATGCTACACCTCAGCCAGCAAGTGTGAGCGCAGGCGCCTGCGTCACGCTCCGTACTGTGCGGTGCACCGTGGTGCGCGGCAGAGGAAGAGTTAGAGCCAGCACCCCCGAGCAGCCCACGCTGAAGCAGCGTAACTAAGCTCTAAGTTTGGGGGTCCGCAGTGCAGTAACTTCAGGATGTTTCAAAGAGACAGAACGCTGCGTGATGATACAGATGTGAAATATAAACGGGTTATTGGGCGAAGCACACTACACACAGGCCTGTGTGCGCCAGAGGGGTGTCTGCGTGAGTCTGGCCTCTCCTGTTTTGTAGAGTGAAGGACCCGGGTGGAGTACAGTAAGGAGTCTCAGAATGGGCGTCTGTAGGTGTGGACTTGGTCTCGGGGTCCACGGTCCTCTTCGGGAATTTTTGAAATGTATTTGTACTTTAAGTGTAATAGTTAATAATTCACCCAACCATATTCTGAGCCACCTAAGGCGATGTTCAGGTCGCTGGGTCCTGACCCAGTGGGCTGGAGGATTGCGGTTCGTTCATGGGTGAAGTCGGTCCCGTCTAGCGTGGTTTTAAATAAAAGCAAATGGAACGGAAAAGATCAGGATGTAAAAGTTCAGTGTTGTTTATAAAATGTTTCTGTTTTTCATGCGTGTGTGGGTCTGAGTCATGATGTGAGCTGTATTTATTACTGTGGACAGAAATCCAAACAGCCTGAAAGCCATTAATCACTAGATGACTGGTTCTCAGCCTTCACTGCGCATTGGAATCACCCACTGGGTTTGAAAAATAAGGCCGCATGGGTCCCCCCCCAGAAATTCTTCTGTATTTGATTTGAGGTGCCAGCTGAGCGTGGGGCTTGCTTAAAACTCCTCGGCTGTGCCGCCAGGGGTGAGACCCCATGTGGAGCTGAGCCTTGCAGCCCAGTCTTCGCAGGTCATTTCAGTCCAGCCTCTGGGTTGTTTTTATTGAGTTTGCCTCGGGGCCAAGGCGTCCCACAGATGGAAATTGCTGGAGGGTACCAGGAGGGAGCAGAGCGGGCTGAGGACGGAAATAACGCTTTGCCCAAGTGAAGGCACGCGCAGTCTGGGGGGGCGAGCGATGGACGTTCACCGTGGGTCAGACACAGACACTGGGGGGGGACTCAGAGAGCGAAGAGACGCTGGAATCCTTTGAATCGTGTGAACAGTCCCGCCTGCTCTTTCCTCAGAGTTGGCAGGAGAGGAGACACCAGGGTCTGCGGTTTCCCCAGGGGTGTGGGGGGGGTGCCTCACTCCTGGGGGCCTCTCTCTACAGCGACTTGTCTTTAAGGGTCATTCTTGACGGATTCCCCTCCCTTCCCTCCCCCCCTCTGTGTTCATGTCCCAAGGGATGAGTTTCAGCAAAACAGCGTCGTCCCTGCGTTAAATCTGACTTGCTACTTCTAACTGTATTGGTTTCCATTCTGTTCTTAGTTCATAATCGTGCTTGCGTTGACAGCGGCGTAAGAGCACGAGGACAAGGCGTCTAGAGCCAGGTGTCTTACTTATCCATACTTGTTTAATATTATCATGTAAACAGTATCATGGAGGAAGCACTTGAATTCTTGTCCCTTGAAAGGCCAGCCCTCCCCTGCTCACCGGCCCCCTGCGCTCTGTGACTGCGCCCTGTCCACCCGGGGCTGGTGGGCCGGTGAGTTAGCCCAAGCTCCCACCTGTCAGCAAGGGTCAGAAGACGTCGTGAAGTGGTGTAAGTGGGGCTTAAAGCTTCTTGGGACCCCTCCACGGGAGCCCTGTCCCCGGGTGAAGTGGGAGTTCAGAAGAGAAGTGGGATTTAGATTATTACCCCCCGGAAAGGTGAGGATGGCAGCGACAGTGACTCGCGTTCGTGGATGGTGGCAGGTCACATTTCTCGAGCATCTGAACCTGCAGTGGGCTGTGCTTTCCGTGATGGTTTTCCTTGACCCTGAGAGCCACCCTCTGAGGCCGGTGCTGTTACAGACACCCCACTTTACACAGAAGGGGCCCAAAGAAGCGACAGTTACGTGACTTGTCTGAGAGATTCAGCCGGGATTCAAGACCAGATACGTCGCCTCCGGGCCTAAGAGCTGAATCTCCTCAAGGACGCGGAGAGAGGCCCATCCTGAGGGCGGGGCAGGGAGGCTGTTCCAGGCCAGACAATGAAGGAAGGGGTGTGTGAGAGGTGTCTGTGGGAGCTTGCCAGGGGACGTGCTGGCCAGGGGGCCAGGGTCCAGCCTGACAGGGCAGGGAGACTATGAAATATTCATGAAAGAGCTTAAAAAAAAAGTAAGATCATCTTCCTATAATGTAGGGACTCTGAGACATCCTGAGAATGAAACGAGCAATGTGCAGGGACATACAAACATTTATTTTGGAAAGAAACGTGTGTGTGACAGAGTGAGAGAGAGAGATTGGTTGATTGCAACTGAATGTTTGCGCAGAATTGATCTGGAAAGACATCATCCCAGGTTCTGACAGCGTCCATCCTCCTCTGCTGAGGACGCCGGCTGCAGGCGTTAGTGGTGATGGGCCAAGGAACCTGGAGCTTTGCTCTGAAATTTGCATTTTCCTGTTTGTCAGCAAGGTGACTGTGTTCATGTGGTTAGGAAATTCTGCAAAGATTAAGATGTTGATACATTAAAAAAAAGAGAAAGAAATAGGGGGACTATCTGGGAATTCCATATTCAGGACGGGCCTGTTTCTGGACTGGAAGGTGGCAGGACTCTGCCCGTTGCTGGAGCTGACGTGCATTGTGTAAGGGGTGCGGGAACAAGCTGTCGGGGGGGAGGTGCGGCTTGTGCTTAGCGCGCCCGAGGTCCTGGGTTCAGCCCCCGGTAACTCTGTTATAAATAAATAAACAAACAAACCCAATTACCCCCCAATAATAATAATGTTATAAATAAATAAACAAACCCAATTACCCCCCAATAATAATAATTTTTAGACCTTAAAATAACTAAAATAAAGGGAAGGAGCAGATTGTCACGTAATTGGCAGGGAAGACAGCATTGCTGCTGCTGGGTCCCATCTTCCAGGGGAAACTGTCGGCAGTTTTAGGAACCTGAGCACTGGCACAGGGATGCACAGCGCCTTCCGGTAAAGCAAGTCCCCTCCTCCGCTGCCGGGCCCAGCGGTGGTGGTGAGAGATCAGACTGGGAAGGGAGGGCCCTCCTCATCCGCAGTTTCAATTTCGTGAAATTTCAGTCTGCAGGTGGTCGAGTCTGAAGATGCGAACCTGGAATACGGAGGGTGACCGCATTTATGCGCCTCATTCACCTGCGCCCTTTTACCCAAGGGACTTGGGTGAGGCAGGTGTTGGTGTCCGGGGTCCTGGAAGCAACCCCCCGGTGGATACGGAGGGTGGCTGTCCACCGGCGCTCCTCCTGGATCCAGGTTGGGCGGGGAGTGGGGGATGCCGTGTGGTTTCCATGGCGTTTTAAAATTGCTTAGGAAACCCAAGTGGCCGACTCTGTGTGTTGCAGATGGAGGAGAGGCACCCGGACTTCTGAAAGCCCGCCGGAGGAGATAACCGTGCGAGTCCTTCAGGGTGCCGGAGAGGCGGGGGCGGCCCTGAGAGGCAGACACAGAGGTGCCGGCGGCGTGCAGGGTGAGTGACAGCTGACGCCCGCGGCTGCGGCCCTGGCCCTTGCACTTCCAGGGTCCCCGGTGTGTGGGGCCACCACGCTCTCCAGCCTGGTGTGCTGCTGTGACTGTGACCTGGCCCCGACAGGGGGTTCCCGAGGATGCTTACCTGTTCCCAGGTGTCGAAGGGGTTCTGCTGTGACGCGGCGGCAGCAGGGCCGGGGCAAGGCCAGGACCGCCAGGGGCCCCCGCGCACGAACTGTAACCACTGTCCGTGATGGGACACCAGCTGCGGGCCAGGCCCGGCTCGAAGCCCTTTCGTGGATTCCTTCCTTCTGGTCTCGTCTTAGCGGTGGCCCCCGGGGAGCATGGGGACCCTGCTTGACTCCTGAGAGAGGGCGGTCCCGATGGTGGGCCCCGTCCCAGCGTAAAGCCTTCTCCTCTTCCTCGCACGTTCCCCACATGCCCTCTTCCTGTCCCGCCTTTCATCTGCTTTTTCCCATAGAATCGTAGATCTCCGAGTGACAGGGAATTCACATCAGGGGGACGTCAGCATAGGTCACTCCTGTGGACCGTAGTTTCCCTAAGCGGCCACTGGTGGTATCGCTGCCCTTCCAGAACGCGCCACATCCCCTCACGCTGGGGAGTCAGCTTCCCTTCCTCTGCAGTCTGGGTGGGACCCGGGAACCACCTTCACAGAGAAGGCGGCAGAAATGATGCCGAGTGACTTCAGAGCAGAGACCAGCCACCCTGAGGTGGCCCCGGCGCACCTGCCTGTGAGACCAGCCGCCTCGCAGAGAGGCCGCCCAGGCCCCTCCCCCGGCCCCCCAACGCGTGAGGGGACTTGGGTGGCCCCAGCCCCAGCCTCGGAGCTGCCCGCTCCGGTGCCAAGTGGAGGGAGGGCGAGGCGACAACAGTTCCCCCTGAGCCCATCCCCGCCGGACATTCAGGAGAAAGTGAACACTGTCACTGCGTGGCGCGCTATCATTGAACCCCCTGCAACACCGTTGAATGTGTCACTACGCTGACTTACAAGGGAGAGAAAGGAGGCTGAGTGACACGGAGTGACTCGCCCCACGCCACACGGTGGGCTGGGTTTGAACCCAGGGCTCCCCTGGGAGACCCGCCCCTGCCTCAGGGCCCCTTCCTCCTGGGAGCGGAGTGGGGCCTGTGCCCCTCCTCACACACAGCTGTTCTCGGAGAGGGCAGACCCATTTGGGGTCGGAGGATGAGAGAATACATCTTTGGAGAACTGGCTTTAGTTGGTTTATTGTGACTGTTTGCTTAATTTGGATCCTGGTTAAGCCCTGCTGGTCCTGCCTCAAACATCTAGTCCCCCCGGAGGCTGCCTGCCTCCCCCAGGCACTGAGATCCCGTGGTGCTGCCCACGTCACACGACGTGCTTTTTCATACGTGTGAAACGATGACCCTGTTTCTGCGTCATCCGCGCTTCTCTCTCGTTTGGCTTCAGGCTCCATGAGGCCAGGGCTTGCTCTCACCCGCAGCAGGCAGGGAATAAATGCAAGTTAATAAATACCGGAGAGCATGAAGTGTGAATTTTCTTGAGAAGGAGGACGTTCGGATAAGGAAGCACAAAATTGCAGGTGTAAATCCTGAAGTCTTACCTCGGTGCTAAAGATTTGTCTTTCGAGGTCAGGATTTCTTCGCCACTTCAGTGTCTTTCCCGTTAGATAGAACATCTATGGGTTTGACCTTTGTAAGTAAAGAACTTCCACAAAACGCAACAGCGAAACAGGAACAGGAGCTGGCAGGGCTCTGAGACGCTGCTTTGCCGCGGGTTGTTACTTACGTGCAAAATATTTTCAGATGCGCAGCACTGGGGAACCGACTTCGGTGTGAATGTTGAGATGGGACGTGTGACTTCTGCACTCATCTCAGTCCGCCTTTGCTTGTGGGATTGGTGGCCTTCTGTCTTCCTCCTTGAATTTAGTTACAGGCCTGTGTGTCGTGGCAGCTGCTCGAGAACCCTGAACAGCTCTTACCCCTGTGTTGTCCAGAATGTCCAACGTTGATTCTATGCTTAGCCGGTATAGGACTCCAGTCATAATGGAGGGGCAGCAGGACCAGAATAGCTGGCTTTTTTTTTAAAAGAAGGATTAATAAACGCATACGAAATGTTGGGCAAGTTTAAATCTTTAATTGTATTTTTTAGTGCCTAATCTATCAGTTAGCTTTTGCTGCCTAACAAACTGCCTCAAAACTTAGTAGCTTAAAATGATAGCCATTAATTTAGTTCACAGTTCTGCAGGTGGGTGATTTGGGCAGGGCTTAGCTGGGTTAGCTGGGCTGACCGGCATGTCTTCCATCAGCTGCCAGTTTCTGACTTACATAGTATTACATTCTCCATGTCCATCCATGTTGCTGCAAATGACAGTATTTTATTCTTTTTCTATGACTGAGTAGTATTCCATTGTGTGTGTGTGTGTGTGTGTGTGTGTGTGTGTGTGTGTGTGTGTGTGTATATTGTGTGTGTGTGTGTGTGTGTGTGTGTGTGTGTGTGTGTGTGTATTGGTATATATGCCACAATTTCTTTATCCAGTCATCTGTTGATGGGCATTTGGGTTGTTTCCATGTCTTGGCTATTGTATATAGTGTTGCTATGAACATTGGGGTGCATGTATCTTTTTCAGATTAGAATTTCCTCCCAATATATGCTCAGGAGTGAGATTGCTGGATCATAAGGTAAGTCTGTTTTTAGTTTTTTAAGGATCTCCATACTGTTTTCCGTAGTGGCTGCACCAATTTACATCCCCACCAGCAGTGTAGGAGGGCTCCCTTTTCTCCACACCCTCTCCAGCATTTATCGTTTGTGGACTTTTTAATGATGGCCGTTCTGACTGGTGTGAGTTGATCCCTCATTGAAGGTTTGATTTGCATTTCTTTGGTGATTAGTGATGTTGAGCATTTTTTCACGTGCCTGTCGGCCATCTGGATGTCGTCATTGGAGAAAATGCATGGCTTCTTGAGGCTTGGGCTTGGGAACGACAGTCCACTTCTGCCTTATTCTTGTGGCCAAAGCAAGTTACAGGCCATTCCGGACGAGACATGAGAAACAGACTCCAGCCCTGGGTGGGGGGAGCTGCCACACCAGCTTGCGAAGGGCAGGCACACAGGGAGGGGAGAAGCGTGGCCATCTCTGCAGCCCACACACCCAGTGATGTGGAGGACATTGTAGCACTACAGAGGACATGATGGAAAGGAAACCTTGGCCTGGTTTATAACTTCGAAAAAAATGGAACTGGACTGAGAGGCCCAGATAGATGCAGAAGAGCAGAGCCCTGGGCGTCCCCCTGACTCCATTCTCCATCTGCTGAGTCTGTATGGGGGGGATGGAGGCAGGTCTGGGGGGAGATGGCAGAACACAGGCTGGACAGTTGGTAGCAAAGAGAGGTTTATTTTCCTTTGCTACAGTTCTTTCTTTCTCCGTCGGCTGGGGGTGGCGGGCGATCAGGGCACGGCAAGGAGATCAGAGGTAAAGAGTAAGTGTTGTTGGGTCCAGGTTCTCGTCCCGTCGCAGAAAGAGTCCAGAGACGAGACACAGAGGTTAAGAAAGTAAGGTGGGGATTTATTAAGGGGTGGACAGCACACTCTCAAGGGGAGAGCAGGCAGGCCCAGGCGAGCGGCTGCCCCGAGTTTCTTTGGCAGTTGAGTTACACAGGGTGTGAAAATGAACGGGCAGAGTATTCATTGGGGAGGGGAGGGTCTAGGGTCTTATTCCCTGATTTTCATCCCAGCTCCACCTTCCTGAAGGTGAGATTTTTGTCTTCATTTAGTCTGGATCAGAAGTGTCATGGCATCGGTGCATGATGGGTACTTATAGTCTGCAAGGCTAATTTTATTGTAATGAGGGCATAATGAGCCAAAGGTTACGTTCGGACACTGGAGAGTCCTGCCTTTTCCCACCTCTCTTTATTGGCCTCCAGGCCACTTGTCATCCCAAAAATATGTGACTGCTTATCAGCCCAGAGGTTCCTGCTTTTCTCTCTCTGCCAGGGGACCCCTGTTTACGTGATGGAGGGTTTCCTGCATTTGGCCCCATGCCCTTCCTTTCTGCCCAGTACCTGCCATTTTTGCCTGCGTCTGCCTTCCTCTGCTCATATCTGGCTATCTCCCTGCTCGAACACAAGCTGCCCCTTTCCCGTCTGAGTCAGTGGAAGGAGCCCTGAATCTGATAAACCTGAAACAGCACCAGTTCTCTCTGCTTCCTGCCACTAGGCTTCAAGCACACGGGGTTTGTCTGATGGGTGGTTTGGGGGAGGTGAGGGGGCATCGGGGGGGGGTCAGATGGGCTGTCTCCTGCATCCTTTTCCCATGGATTTGCAGGAAGACTTCAACTTCCGCCCCCTGCCCCCCAGTCATTGGTGCGTCTGTCACGGTGGCCCCGCGAGGGCAGGACCCTCCTCATCCTCGCTTTAGAGACGGGAAAGCCGAGTGCTGGGAGGTTCAGGAACTTGCCCTGGATCCCACAGGTGGGCAGGGGCCCAGGCGGGCTTTGAAGCCAGGCCATGTTTTGGATTCCAGGCGCGTGGCCCCTGAGCCCTGAGCCCGTGTGTCCTGTGGGTGGAGTCAGGGAAGCAGAGTTCAGTCTTTCCCCGTCCCCTGCACCGCGCGGGGGGAGGGGGGTCTGAGGTCTGAGGGGTGTGTCGGGAAGGCCAGTGCGCAGTACGAGGCAGCTACCTGTGGGGAGCCCCGCCCTCCCTGGGTCATCCAGGTGGGTAATTTCATCCCACCTGGGGATCCACCCCCTCCCCTGGCGGAGTCCTGAGCCCCCAGGTCTCAGCGCCCAGCTCCACGGCGCCCCGAGAGGTGCTCCCGTGGTCTCTGGAGCAAGTCTGGTCCTCGGGCCCCTGCCGAGTCATTTGAAATCCTCCTCCTCAGGGCAATGCCCCTGGGAGGGGCTCGCACGCCCCATGTCTGTGTCCCCCGAGTCCATGTCCGGAACTCAGCAGAGTGGATGGAGAAGGCTTGCTGAGGGAGCCCGCTCGCTCTTCAGTTAAAGGCTAGTGCTGCCACCTTCTGGCCAGCAAGTTTTGCAGTGGTTTCCTGAGGATGGGATTTATTCCTTTACTCTCCATTCTCTTTCTTTCCTCCTTTATTTCCCGTTCTTTCCCACACGCAGGCACAGCCGAGAACCCTGGGGGTCATGAGGAGAAGCCAGTCTTGCTTGAAAACAGCAGCGCTTTCGGAAGGCCTGCCACCAGCCAGGCCCTGCTCAAGGCACATTCTGTGCTCTTGCCTCACATCAGACGCAAGGGCCACTGTTTTTTTCCCCCATTTTACACATGAGACAACTGAGGCCCAGAGAGGTGCTGTCATCTGTGTGTCATGGTGTCTGGCACATTCAAGTGCTCAACGAGCATGTGCTGTCACCTGTAGAAAGAGCAGCTGTGTCTTCATTTGAGCCCACAGTGCAGGTGTTTATTCACACGGTGATGCTCGGAAGCTCAGTGAGGGCACAGGGGTGGGGCCGGGAAGGGGGAAAGGCCTTTCGGGCTGGGACCAGGAGCAAGGGACCACTGTGGGTCCCCGGGGCTGAGTCCCACAGAGGACCTGTGACAGACCGTGTGGGATGCATCCTGGAGTTGTCCCACCCAGAGTCATGGACACTGGGGTATTCCCAGAGAAATCACAAGGACTGTTGAAAGCCATTGTGAACTTCATGAGTACATCCTGTAAGCTGCCACATTTGTCCAGGGAAGGAAACGGGAGAATCTGTTGTGCAGGATTCTGCTGGCACCCTGTGCTCCCACTTCGTTCCCTGCGTCAGCTCCCGCTGGGCAGCAGACCGCCCAGCGGCCGTGGGGAAGTTAACCCAGAGCACCGATTTAGCTCATGCGGTATAGGTGGGCTGGGGCTTGGCGGGTCTGGACTGGGCTGGCCAGGCAGCTCTGCAGATCTCAGCCTGGCAGCTCCCACTGAGGGGACGAGGGTGGGGCTGATCCAGGCTGGCTTCGTCTGGGCGACTCCGCTAACGGCCTGGGTCCAGCTGGCTTGGTCTCTGGCTGGGGTCCAGGGTCAAGGCTGCTCCACCCGAGTGCATGCTGAGTCCAGGCTTGTGGGCAGTAGCAGCCCACAGGGGCCAGTGCTACGACCGTGGCAGAGGCCTGGGGTGCAGGTGGAAACCCAGAGCCTCTTGACAGACGCTCCTACATTCCTGTGTTATGACTTTATGAGTCACAGGACCACACCCAAGTCCAGGGCTGAGAGGTAAAGTCAGCCCTCCCGGGCAGGTGTTGGCTGTTGCTGACCTTGGTCAGGACCCACGAGGCCCTCTGCCCTGCTGCCCCTGCTTCTTCTGAACTGGGCAACACGATGTGAAAGGTGAAGGCCTTCGCCAGTCCCAGTGTTAGTTATAACTTTGGACGAACTCCCAAATCTTTCATGACAGTCTAAGCTGTTATTAGTGGGGGTGACATGGTTATTAAAGGCTGCACATCCTCTAGTTCCAGGAGCCTCTGTCATCTCAGACCTTCACCGGGAGTCCTGTCTCGTCTTGTGCCCTGGCCTTGCTCCTCGC